TATGTATGTATGTATGTATATACAGTATGTATATACAGTATGTATGCAGGTATGTGCTTGCATACGCATGTGTGTATGTAGACATGTACATATACTAGGGTTTAGAGTTGTGGGGTTTAGTTTTCTTTTAGCTTTTTGGATTGTTGTTGTCAATGCCAGAGTCTTGCTTCTAGTGATGAGGATACCCTGGTATTTGGCAAAGGAGTCTTGGAAAGGAGCCTGCTCCCTTAATTCCTGACAGGGAGCAAGGCTTGCTTGAAGGCGCTGATCCTTGAGTTCGGAGAGAAGATACATGGTTTCAGTTTCTTGATCTGTCTTACAGGTTTTTCAGGGGCTTCTGCGAGCATATGGCTAGAGTTTCCTAGTGAAGTACGTACAGGCTTCAGGATCCCTATATCAAGGTTGTGGTCTTCGGTCACAGTTTGGGTTTAGGGTTTAGGGCCAAAGTTTAGGGTTTAGGGTTTAGGGTTTAGGGTTTAGGGTGAACCAATAAACCCTAAACCCTAGAGCAATGATCATGGTGTGGGTCAGGAGGAAAAGTTGAGATCACGTTAACCCTAAAGCACCAGCCGTAGATGTCCAAACCTACAACGCGAAACCCCCAGACCCCTTGCAACACCAATATAGGCAGTTTTTAGACAGGAAGACTCCTCAAAAGCCTTATGGAAACCGCAAAAGAATCCCGCACTGCTCCAAAACCCGGAATTCTAAGCCTTAAACAGCTCATGAATTGAACGCCGAGGCCCATTCTTCGAGATTTTGAAGAACCCGAAAGCCCTACTGAAAGGCTCATGGCATCGGTAACTGGGCCTGTGAAGAAGGCAACTACTCTTATATATAGCCCTCATGAGGTACTGACAACCTAATGTACTACTTCCCATGACCCTCCAAAACACCCTGAAATCCCATAGAACCCTGATAGACAGCCTGTAAAACCCTAAACCCTAAACCCCTAAACCCTAAACCCTATATCCGAAACCCCTACCATCCCAAAGTCCCAAGCCCTAAACCCTAAACCCTAAATCCTAATCCCCGTATCCTAAACCCTAAATCCTAACCCTAAACCATCTATCCTACACCCCCAATATCCTACTATCCTAAACCCCTACTATCCTAAGTTCCAAAATCCGTTCCGAAAGGCTCTGCAAGGAAAACCGGATGCCCAGGGCTTCGTCGAGGTGCAGGGCCAGTGCTGTTTTTTCGCGTCTTTTCTAGAGGGAGGGTGGGTTTAGGGTTTAGGGTTTAGGTTTTAGGGGGCTTTCGAAGGCTTTAGTGGGTATTAGGGGGCTTTAGGGGGCGGGGTTTTAAAGGGTTTCAGGGGCTTTTAGGGGCTTCTGGGGGCTTTGGTAGGGGGCTTTCGGGGCTTTGGGGCTGTGAGGCTTTTGCAATTCGAGTCGGGTTGTCTGGATTTTGGGATTGGGGCCGCAGGACTTGGCGTTTCGTGTGCAGAGGGTTTGGACCAGAGTTTGCGGTCTCCAGCGTTTTAGGCTTTAGGGATGAAGGATCCAGTGGAGCCCTATAAGCCTAAAACAGCTAGGCCCTAAACTTCCCTGAACCTTCAACAGCCGCCATCATTAAGCCATGCAGCCCATCTGCGGTACATGCCCAGCCGCTGAGACCTAAAAGGCCTTGAAGCCTAAACTCCCCCTAAACTCCGACCCCGGGATCCCCTCAAGCCTTGAACCCGAAACACGAAAGCCCTGAAGACTAAGATGAATCCCTAAACCATAAACTCTACATGTCTCCTTGACCTTAAACCCTAGACCCTTAACCGTCCTAAACCTTAAACCCTAAACCCTAAACCCTAAATCCTCAACCCTAAACAAACCCCAAAACCCAAGTAATCCCTCCCTCGAGCCCTGAAGGTGCGGTTGCCCTTCGCCAAGGATGCCGGGCCAATGGCCGTCTTCGGCTATGGGTCCTCCAAGGAGTCTTGGCCGGGTTCTGTTAGGGTTCTATGAGGATTCTACAAGGGTTCTATGAGGGTTCTATGAGGGTTCTAGAAGGGTCCTCCAAGGAGTCTTGGCCTGAAAAATGCAGGTTTTTGGGTGGTTTTAGGCTTTGGAGTCTAAGGGTTGAGGGTTTTAGGTTTGGAGTTTAAGGGTTTAGGGTTTTAGGGTTTGGAGGTTAAGGGTTTAGGGTTTTCGGGGGCTTTAGGGTTCGGAGTTTAGTGTGTGGCGCTGTGGGTTCTATTAGGGTTCTATGAGGGTTGTACAAGGGTTCTACAAGGGTTCTACAAGGGTTCTATAAGGGTTCTACAAGGGTTCTTTGAGGAGTATAGACCCTAAACACTGAACCCGTTCAATGCTGCGGTAGGACGAAGGTTGACCCACTTACTTGAGGCTTCAGTGGAACTGAAGCCCTCTTAGCAAGCAGAACCCTCTGGTTCTCCCGACGCACCGGGACCTCTATCGGTCAGCAAACGCCGCATGAGCCAGTTGTTCAGTCCAGCGGGAGCAGCAGCAGGACGAAAGTTAAGGCGTGCTGGCATGTTTCTGGTTGGCGCAGGTTCCGCATACAGCGAAGTTGAATTTACCCGGCCAGCAGAGGAATTAAAGCGACGTTTTACGCTTGTAGTCTCTATTTGCCCAAAACCTAAGTTGTTGGATGAGTATGCCGGGAAGGGCGTTGCCACGCACACGTATGCAGAACTGCGGACCTAGCGATTTCATATGGGTGGTTGTCAAAATTATGGTCCCTTCTTGATTCCTTATTATAATACGGCACCTATTATTTAGGGTACCCCAAAAGGGACTATAATTTTGACATCTACCCATACCTATTGTCAAGGCCACTTCCGACTTCATCTCCTTCCGTGCCCGCTGGCTACTTGGTTCCCTCCACAAGGGCGGGATTTTTTGGGGCTTAGAGGGTTTAGGTTTTAGGGTTTGGGCCTGCGGTTGAGTCGAGGAACTTCGATTTGAGAGGATCAGCTTGCACCCCTTTACAGAACCCTACTATAGTACCCTCTATAGAACCCTAAAACCCTAAACCCTAAACCCTAAACCTAAATCAGGGCGCCTGAGGCCCATCGAAACCAATCGCATTACGGTACAATGCTACGGTTGCGGCTTCAAAGTCCTGGGTTCTGCTCTCCTGGGGTCTAGGATTTATAAGGTTTAGAGTTCAGGGTTTAGGGTTTGGGGGTTTAGGGTTTAGGGTTTGGGGGTTTAGGGTGTAGGGTCTAGGATTTATAAGGTTTAGGGTTTAGAGTTTAGGGTTTATAGGGCTTAGGGTTCAGGGTTTGGAGGTTTGGGGGCTTGGGGGTTTAGGGTTTAGGGTTTAGGGTTTGGGGGTGTAGGGGTTTAGGGTTATTGCAGGCATGGGGTGCAGGTACTTTGGGTTGAGGCTTCCGTGCTACGGAATCCGCCCATGGCTTTCGTGGCAGTGTGGGGAGCCTGGTGTAGATCTTCGGCTCTGTGTGTTCAATAACTGGGCGGCTCTCGAAATTAGGGTCCCTTTTAGGGTTTAGGGTTTAGGGTTTAGGGTATAGGGCCCCGAAAACAATACGGCACCCTTGTAAAAGGGGCCGAAGATGTTCATCACGAGATGGACCGCGCCTGTAGGTGATGGAGGAACTCTTCCATCAGAGATGAAAGAAGCCTAGGCACCCCAGACCCAACCCCAAGCCTTCGCCCCTAAACCACAAACTCTAAACCCTACACCCCCTAAGCCCTAAACCCTAAACCCTAAACCCTTAAACCCTAAACCCTACACCCAAAACCCTAAACCCTAAACCCTACGCCCCCTGAACCCTTAAACCCTAAGCCCTATAGACTCTAAACCCCAAACCGCCAAGGCTGGATTATGCCAAGCTGAAGGCGGAGTGGATCGGCAAGTCGACTCTTGGCCGCTCATGGGATCCTTCCCGCTGTTGTGGGTTTAGGGGTTACGGGTTTAGGGTTTGGGGTTTGGGGTTTAGAGTTTAGGGCTTTAGGGTTTAGGGTTTAGGGTTTAGTGGTTTAGGGGTTAAGGGTTTAGGGGTTCGGGTTTAGGGTTCAGAGGTTGAGGGGTAATGGGCATCGGGGTTTAGGGTATCGGGGTGGTTTAGAGGTTTACGACTGAAGAGTTAGGGGTTTTGGTTTAGGGTTTATGGGCTTGGGAGTTTAGGGTTTAGGGG